AATAAAAAATAGACGTTCAGTTTATCACATATCTTTTTCTAATTAAGAATGCTGAGATAGTGAAATTTTCTGTTGAAAAATGCACAAAATAATTGACCTTTCTAACAGTTTTTACATGTACAGTTAAGTACATCTGCATTACGATTATCACTGCAAGCATTTATCTCTAGAACTTTTTTATCTTCCTCAGGTGAAGCTGTCTCTGCTAATCACCACCTCCCTGGTCTCTCCCCCTCCTAGCCCTTGGCATCTAGTTTCTGTCTATAAAGTTGACTACTGGGAATGTCAGTATTTGACCTTTCATGCCTGCGTATTTCCCTTAGCATCGTATCCTCAGTCTCATCCAAATCAGACCATTCATCTGAGCTTTCCCCCTTTTAAGGGTGGGCCGTGTTCTACTGTATGAGCGCAGCATCTTGCTTACAGTTTCATACATGAGTGGACTTGAGTTGCTCCCAGCTCTTGACTGTTGTAACTGACCCTGCGTGATTACACCACGCAAGGGTCTTAGGACTCCCTGCTTTCCCTTTTCGTACATACTCACACTTTGCTACTCTGCAGGCTCTTAAGTTTATGTTAATTATAAGTGGAGTTACTCAAACATGCCGCATGCAGTGAGCTTTGAGGACGCCCCACACTGTTTGCCACAGCAGCCACATCACTGCGCATTCCTTCCAGTAGCACTCAGGAGTGTACTTTCTTCATATCCTTGCCAGTGCTTAATAATAGTCATCCTAATGGATATGAAATGGTATCACATTATAAATTAGTCCTTAATGACAAAGGGTGTCAATAGTATTTTAAATTGCTTATTGCCTATTTGTCTATCTTTTTTTTTAAAATTTTATTTGTGTGTGTGTGTGTGTGTGGCCAGCTCAGCCCACTAGGGGGCAGGGCTGGCTGGCATGTGGTGCTAGGGGATCAAACCATGGTCCCTGTGCTTTTTTGCTAAGCTTGTTCTAAGTAGGTGCTTTAGACCACTGAGCCATCTCACCAGCCCCCCATTTGTCTATCTTAAGAAAAATGGGGGGAAATTTTACTGAGCCCTTATTTTTGTGACAAGGACTCAAAAAAAAAAAAAAAATACTGTTTCGATTTTCCTTGAGCTTGGCTCAGGTGATTTTCAGGGTTTAGCAACCCGAGTGTCTGGGATTGCAGCCACTTGTCAGCATGCCTTTCCTGGCCATTTTTTAATTGTATGTTTTTTCTACTTTGCAGTCTCTTAAATTTATGTTAACTGTAATTATTAAACCTGATTGCTGGTTGAATTTTCTGATTTGCTTACATAGGCAGATATAACCTTGTAAAAGGAACCAAGTCTAATCTCCAGGTAAGAGAGGCTAAGATTTGTCATTGGGAACAAACCTCTAGTGACAGGGGAAGGACTCAGGTTTCCCTTTTATTTATTAGAGGCGTTTAATTCACCTTTACTGTTTGGAACAGAGGAACAGTTTTTTTCTTTCTTTATTTGATGCTAAGTGAACTATTCAGTGGGCATCTCCTGTATAAATGTAGCATTACTTCGAAACATAATTAAGCCTTTTTAATGTTTCTACATTTTAAGCATTATTTATACCTAAAACTCTCATACTTGCCTACCTTTCACCATTGTTTTTATGGTTTCAAATATCTGGTGGTTTTATATTTAAGCTGTAGTTCTGATTTGAAAATTTATTTTCTGTATGTTAAAATGAAACATATAGACTGTTTTAGCAAAATTTCATGTATATATATGTATATACATATATACTGCTTCAGTGTAGTAATTTTTAAGTAGTCTAAATCCTACATTAAATGTTCTTATTTTTACTATTTTAGTTGCATTCCTTAAGAATTAATTTCTGATTTAAAGTTGATATTATTTGTTGATTTGGTTATTCAGGTTGGTTTTTGCTTATTCTTATACACAATTAAAATAAAAAGAGGGCTGGCCAAATAGTTCAGCAGATTAAACTGCCTGCAAGCAGGTGCAGGGACCGGGGGTTTGATCCCTGGCCTGCTGTGCGCCACCCCCTCTCCCCCGGGGCGTGCTGAGACAGCAGTTGAGACTGGATGTGGTGATGTGCGTCTATAATCCCAGCTCTTGGGAGGCTGTAAACAGGCGAATCACTACGAGTCCGATCTAGTAGTGAGATTCTGAACACCCTGTAGACCCTTCCCTAAAATACAAAAAATAAATAAATAATAATAATAAAATATTTATTGGAAACAAAAGTCAGAATAATGGAAATTTTTAAGTTTAAAAAAAATTTTTGTTACAAGAAGTTGAGCTGAGGATGTCACGCTTGCCAGGGAGGGTGCTGTACCACTAAACTATATACCTGGACCCAGGATAATAAAAACTTAAGAAGCAGTTATTCATTTTAGGAGACCTTATGTTTGACATTAATGTTAATGAGAAACTCATATAAAGCAGAAAGAAAAGCAAAAAATAAATTCTTAATTAAGTTTTTCTCAATGTTTAATTCTACAGTGACTGTTTGATGATCATAGTAGAGGAGAGGGGATTTCAACAATAAAAATGGCTAATACTAGATGCATACTATTTTGTTCAGTCTACCAGATGCTACATTTGGATTTCACTTAATCCTGATAGCAACTTTCTGCAGTAACTTCTGTTACCATTTTAGTTTTAAAACTGGGGAAGGTGAGAAATAAAAACATTTGGTTTTCATGAATATAATATGAAGTGTCAGATCTTAAGGGGTTTTTTTGGTGGTGGTACTAGGGATTGAACTCAGGACCTTGTGCTTGCCAGGCAAGCACTTATTCTACTGAGCTATCTCCCAGGCCTCAGATCTTAAGATTTTTAACTGTTCTAAAGGGTATTTTCTTACAGTAGTACTTCTCCAACTTCAGTATGCATGTTGTTCACTTGAAAGTGTTTTCTTTTCTTTTTTTTTTTTTTTTGAGATAGGATTTTATGGTATTGTCAAGGCTGGCTTTGAACTTGCTGCCTTTAAGCCAGAGATTCTCTAGCCTCAGCATTCCAAGTGGTGGGATTATAGGCATAAGTGTTACTTTGCAGTTATGATGGATGATGGGTGAATGTTAGATGCCACTTAAACTCTTGGATAGGGCTGTTGAAGAGACTGTCATTTCAGATGGTATTATGGTTATAGACACCATAATGTTTAACATCTATTTTCAGTCTGTATTAGATACTGTTGTCTACTTCAGAAGGCATCAAAAATTTAACTTATATTTTTGGGCAAAATCAAAGTTGAAGGAAGCTCAGCTAACCTTTAATTTAGGTTTTCCCCCTAATTAGGAAAAGGATGTTTTAAAAACATTTGCAAACTAAACCTGGTAGCTCACGCCTGTTATCCCAGCACTCCAGAGGTTGAAACAGGAGGATCACTGTAAGTTTGAGACCAGCCTGGGGTCTACAAAAGTGAGCAAGGGCCAGCCTAAACTGCATCATCAGACCCTTTCTAAAAAAGCCAAAACTTTTGTAATCATATGCTTAATGCATGTGGGGAGGTATCATATGAGACTAGTAGACCTCACTAGGTTATAAAATATACTTATCTTGGTCTCTACAGTACTGCTTGTAAAATTTTTTTTTAGTGGTTTTAGTTTTTTGTTTGTTTTCTTGTGTGTGTGTGTGTGTGTCATCTTTTCTTTTGGTTTTTTGAGACACAGTGTGACCTTGAACTCACTGTGTGGCCCAAGCTGGCCTTGAACTCCTGGTAGTCCTGCCTCAGCCTTCCAGTGTTGGGATTACAGGTGTGAGCCACCTTGTTTAGCAATACTGCTTTGTTTTTAAATTTGTGTGTGTGTGTGTGTGTGTGTGTGTGTGTGTGTGTGTTTGCTCCGAATGCCTTCAGGGCAGGTTTGGCTGACTTGAGTTGTGGGGATCAAACCACAGCAAGCTGAGCCTGACTGCTTTGTTGAAGCAGCCACTTACAGAACTGAGCTAAGGGGCAGGCCCCCACTGCTTTGTTTTTAAAGAATTGAAGATAAAATTTACATTTTCAAAGTATACAAGTCAGTGGCATTTAGTTTATGATATTGTAGTTAGTACTTCTTAGTGTGGTTGGGATCCAACAGAGGATCTTACACATGCTTAAACATGTGTGATCATTTTGTTTAAATTTGCAATTATTGTAAGCACCTAAATTAGAAGATTTGGTAACTATGAACTCTTCATAAGCTGTAGCCAAGTAATGATTGCTTATGCTGAAGTGGGATTTTTTAGTGCTATGATATGCAGCTATATATTCTTAGGAAAATCACATGTGGTATCAAGATCTTTTATATTTAGTACAGCAGAAAAATACAGTGTGTGCATGAAAATAGAATGGGCATTTGCATATACATAAGTTGGAAACACTTGTTCATACTGAATATGTCACTGACAACAAGTGGGAAAAGACCAAATATTATGAGCCACTTTTATAGACTTCAAAATCTGTCATGATTTTCAAAATGGTAAAAAGTGTTTTCAGCAGCAGAACTTCATTTGCAGGAATATATTCCTC